CCCACCAAAGTGGTACCTATCTATCTCCTTGCATTTGCATGCTTTCAAGCTGGGACTAGTGATGGGATCTCACCCCATCATGCGGCACTCGGGCCTCGAACTGCCAGCCTTCGGATCTTCCGATCATCAGTATTGCCTCTTAACCACTAAGCCACTGCATCACCTTTTTAGTAAAGTCACTATGACCTACTACCATTGCTTCATTAGTTCCTCTGTGTGTGTTTGTGTTACAGTGAGTGCCTGTGTATGAACTCCCCCTTTTTAAAATGAGCTACATTAATTTGGAAATTGCTTCTGGAGTTCTCTGGGTTTGGAACCGTTACGCAAAGACCAAGCTCCCAGCCAGATGTTACCCTGGCCACTAAATTCTTGAGCTCAATTAATTTCCCCATTGAATACGATTTGTGGGTGCCCATGTCGGGACTCCCTGCAATTTAGGTAGCAAGTAACTTTTCCCAAAAGTACCTTTTCCAACTTGGCCAATGGCCCTGGCAGCAAACAAAAGCGGTTCATGCTATCTATCCATTCCTCTCCCTTGCAGGGAACTTTGGTCCTTCCCAACAACCATTCGGTGCTGTATGACCCAAATTTCTGGGAAACTCCTTGGAAATTCAACCCAAGGCACTTCCTCGATTCAGAAGACAACTTTGTCAGCAACGAAGCTTTCTTGCCTTTTTCAACAGGTATGAACTAATGCCGATCTTCCCCCTCAGAATGGAAACTGTGAAGTTTAAAATCTGGGGCACTCCTTCAAAGACAGAAGTCATCACGCAAGCATCTAGGAATTGCTTGGAGGACTAAGAGGACTTCTGGACCTTTAATAGTTGGAAAGAAGCTCAGAGGTTTCAGAACCACTGGCCTAGATTGCAAAAGTAGAGGAGTCCAAAAGAGATAGGGAGAATCTCTGATTCTTCTCAGTTCCTTTCAGAGGAATATTGTTAACATATATTTGTGGTTTTGTGCCTTCAAGTGGACTCCAGTTTGTGGAAACCATGGAGTTTTATCACACGGAAGGCAAAGCGCCCAAATCCCGTGAATAAATGAGGTTTAAATCCCATGAATATCCTACAAAAGCAGAATTGTTTTCAGCCACGTCGGGAGACTTTGGCATTATCCCGACATTAATCCATGAATAAA